GTGTCTGTTTTCATTTCCTATTCTTCCCCCAGTAAAGAACCTCCTACCAACAGAATATCTTTCTTTTATCCACGATCAGATTGGGACTCATTCCGAGATTTGCTTCATGATGTCCCCTGGAATACTGTCTTTAACATCCCCGTCGAAAAATGCGCGTCTGAGGTCTCATCCTGAGTAAAAGCTGGAATCTAGGCTTTCATTCCTACAAGAAAATATCAAATGAAATCGCATTCATCCCCTTGGTTGTCAGCTGCTTGTGCAGCAGCTATTGTCCACAGGAATCACTACTTCCGACTATGCCGTAGGGACATGTCTGATTAAAACAGCCGTCTCTTTGTCACTGCTCGTAATGAGGACAAAGATGTCCTCAAAGAAGCAAAGTTACTCTTTGCCGAAAGAATAAATCAACCTATTGCGTCACGCAGGTTTGGTTCAGAGGAGTATTGGCGACTCTGCAAAATCGTGCTGAACAACAGCAGACCCTCAATACCCCATTTATTCAACGAATATAAGGTCATGACCTCCTCCACTAATGAAGCTGAATGCTTCGCGCGTAAGTTCTCATCTAATTCAACGCTAGACTCATCTGGTGTACCCACACTGAATTTTCACTCTAGAACTGAGGCTCTACTGAGTGAGATGCTCATAATCCCATTTATGGTATTGGGCATCATCTCTAAAATTAGACGCCCATAAGGCTAGTGGTGGGGACGAGATACCGGACATTGTCATGAAGAAATATGCTCCTGAATTGGCTCTTGTCCTCTCTAAACAGTACAACTGCTTCTTCATTGAATCTTGCTTTCCAGACTGTTAGAAGTCCTCATCTGTTGTGCCTATCTTTAAAAACTCTGGTGACCCTTCTGACCAATCTAAACTACTGTCCTATCAGTCTCCTGCCACTTTTCGGTAAAACCTTCCAGGCTTTAATCAACGCCGAAGTGGTTAAGAACCTTACTTCGCATAATCTGCTCTCCGACAAACAATATGGTTTCCGCCTTTCCCGATCTACCGCACATGTGCTCACGGCTATAACTGAATTTGTATACCAAGCACTCAACAATAATGGATAAGGTCGAGCCGTGGCTCTAATCATCTCTAAAGCGATTGATAGTGTTTGGCACGCTGGCCTTCTTCGTAATACGGTATTACAGGACGATTATTTGACTTAATACAATCATTCATCTCAAACCGTGAAATGAAGGTCTTCCTAAACGGGTTCTCTTCCGGCTCCTTTATCACGCTGGTGTCCCCCAAGGTTCTATCTTGGGTCCTACACTGTTCCTGATCTTCCTCAATGACCTTGTCAATGCCATCAGTTCTCAAGTTGACATGTACGCGGACGACACCGCTATTTACTCCTGCCTCAATAGTAAATCTAGTATCGTTGGCAAAACTAACCTGGCTGCTGATCTCGAAAAGGACCGCCAATCTGTGGTTGACTGGGACAGGAAATGGCTTGAATGCCTCCAAAACGAAGCTGCTCTCCTTTACCCACGAAAAAAAATATTACTAGTAATAGATTTTTAAATAAAAAAAATATTACCAGCAATAGATTTTTAAATAAAAAATATCACCAGCAATAGATTTTTAAATAAAAAATATTACCAGGAATACATTTTTGGAAAAAAAATATTGCCAGCAATAAAAATCTTGTTGGCATTAAATAACACATTAAGGTTGAAAAGTCGCAAAACAAACCAAACGTATT